GTCCAAACTGAATGTTTGGCCAAATTTCGAGTTCCATCTTGGAAATCCATTATTTCCGAGCACGCAAGACTTTATTCTTCTGGATTACGTAAAGGATAATAGTAGAGATTTTCTTTTTCCATTACTTTTTAAATTATATGTGCTTTTGAAGATAAGAGCTTGTGACAGTTGACACTACCGAACTGACACTAACCGTAACGCTAACTATAACCGCCCAAAATCGGGCGGTTATGATTAGTGTCAAATATGACATCATTTTGACCAGCGCAAAACTGGTGTAGCGAATATCATGAACATCCGAAGATGTAACCATCGGGAATGTGCTGGTTAAGGTTTATAGTTAGTTAATGTAACTCATCCTTAGTAATTTAATTATGTAATTTTAAGGTTATTCCAAATATTACTGTTACAAATAATTTTAACTTTAACGGTAACCGGCGATATGGTGCAACTCACCCTAAGAGAATGAAATTCTTAATTTGAATTATGATTTCAAAGTATGCTTATTCTAGAAACTCAATGTAATTTTACAAAGAAAGTTACCAACATAAAATACAGTTAACTGGAATACCGAGTCCATTGCGGTTTCATGAAAAAAATATGGCATAAATCTAAAATTTCTACTAACTCGTTATAATTTTTCTAACTTAAAATATTTAATAACATCAAAGACTCACTTAGATTGCACTTGACAATTTCAGTCGACATCAGAGTGCGAAGCTAGATAACTTGCTGATTTATTTAAGTTGAAATCTTTATGGCCAAGTTATATCTGAGAGCGAGGTCGTTATGATAGTACGGGAGGACGGAAATTGCATTTTATAATGTGTAGCTAACTTAACAGCCACTGCAAGCCGTTACTGAATATGGAACGTAATTTATCACCGTGTATGGATAATATCACTTAACTTTATTGACTAAGAATGTCCATAAATTTCGATTTATGTACCTTTTTGTTTTCATTTTATTATACAAGAATAATAAAATATACATTTTCAGAACGTGATCGTAATATTTCATAAATTATTACTACAAATTGTAATTTATTAAAACACAGTCACAGTTGTCTCGACTAATTAAATCTAGTCCTACTTAAGAGATAAGTGGTCCACCTGATGGCATTAACTTAAGTTATCGTTTGAGTTTGTGTTTTTAAATAAATGTGCATTATTAGTGTTTTTAAATGGCGGTTGGTTAAACAATAAAATCTATGTTACACACAGATAATTTACCCTTCTACCGGTGAAAGAATTTATAAAATCGGCCCAGTAGTTTTTGAGTTAGTAGTAGAGTAGTAGTAGTAGTAGTGAGTAGTTTTTGAGTTTATTAGTTATTATACATACAAAAAAAATCTTTCCTCTTTATAATATTAGTATAGATATTAACGAGTATATGATATTGACAATTGTACAAATACACTTAAACTCGTCAAGGGAACAAGGCGTAAAATAATAGCGACGCTAATGACGCACTCGCGTGTTACTTTACTCTTATTGATATAAGGAAGCCAATATTTTTGGAAATTAATAATTTTCTATTAAGTGCTTTTTTATTTTATTATTATTAAGTGCAATATGTATTCTTTAGAGGGTAAACAATTGTATTGTGTTGTAAAGTAAATTCAAGACCAAAAAATTCTGCGAAGAAGTTAAAAGTTTATTCGGTTTTAATCAAAAAATGCATACTTTAAAATGTACACGTAGATTTTATCCGAACCAACAGATAGAATTGGATCGAAAACTCTGAAAAGAAATCTGTCACTAAAGGGTATTAATTTATCTCCTTTCTATAAATTAAAGCAATATGTATTTTACAATTAGAAAATCTTTGTAAAACTTGTTAATCTTATTTACAGTTTCTTGAACAAAACTACAAAATCTCTTCGCCCAAAACAGAAACATGTAAACCATTATTAAACTTGTACGAAAATGTTTTAATCACAAATGTCATATGGAAATTTTATATGAAAGCGTGCATTAGTCGTCGCCACTGCACTGCAGTATATTTTCAATTTTGTTTTGTTTGTTACTAACAAGCTATGCCACAAAGTTCTTCCATTTTAATTACTTTTATACTGTTTCATTGGCGCAAATGTTTTTATGAAGCTTGGCACAAGTTTTGGTCATTTTCAACCGACTGAGCATTGTTTTGTAAAGATTTTGCTATTGATTATTCTTAGAGTGCGTAATACCGCATACTGAGGAGATTTTGTTCATGCTTTTATATAGAAGAATTAAATACGATACATTAATAGTATTTATTTAAATCTATACTAATATTACAAAGATGAATGATTTGTTTTTTGGATTTTTGTATGTATTTAATTCTCGTAAAAACTACTGGGCCGATTTAAAAAATTCTTTCCCCATTAGAAAGGTAATTTATCTATGAGTAACAATGGCTATATTTTGTAGTATTGTTTTTTTAAATTCAACGCAGGCGAAGTCGTGAGCAGCAAATCAATAATATTTTGATACAAACATAACCGTAGAATTCCACGAACGAATTATTTATCTTTCTAAAAATGTTAAGAGATAACTTTACGTTTTCATACAATTTTATTGCCCATGGAGATCCACCCTAAAACTCTGTATATCTAGATTTTAAGAAAAAGCACTCAACTCTACCGTAAAGTAACATTTAAGAATACTTCTTTGCTTTTGGTATTATACTTGGATAAGAACATTACAGTTTTACAGCGTTGCCTCCGACTACAGTTAGGATATAAAAATATTATGTTTCCACTCTAAATATTACGGTTCATTTATACTAAAAATCATTAAAACAAATATTACTGCAGCAAATAAAATGAAAGTAAAATCATTCAAAATTATAACGAAAAAAATCATCTACACATATAGAAGTCTAAGAGCGTGTGCATATCTTTGACTAAACCACCGCACAACTGTTTAGTCTCGCTTTGATTACTATGAGCTTATATGGAGGTGCGCACACTACTCGATTTTTAGTTGTGCAAAAAACAATCGAATTGGATGCGAAACAGTCGACGATCGCACAGCAATTGTGCGAAGGTTTAGTCAAAGGTGTACCTCCGCTCTTACAAGTATTCTCTATTCATCGAAGTTTATTGATAAATCTATGCTTTATACTATAAAAAAAATAAAAGGGAAAGAGGGCTTCAATCGCTATATATGACGCCATTGATTAGAATAAAGGGTATGAGAATCCATGTACTATACAAGTTTTCGCATCCGAGGCCCAGAGTGTTTAAATAATTCAGACCGGATTACGACATCTCGGAGTGACGGGAAGATGTATAGTCGATATCTAAATTGACCAGAAGATCGGCAGACAGTACGGTTATATATTGCGGTCAACTGTTCACTTGATTTAAGGATTTTTTACGATAAATCTTTTGCTAGTAGAACTGTATTTTGTGTCTTGACAGTGAAGGTTTCTTACTTTAGTACTGCTTTAGTATTAATTCTTAACACGCTATTTTTTATTTTGATATCGTAGTTTTAAATATGAAGTGTTTCGACTAACATCAGGTAATATTGGGTGATTTATGACATTTTCTTGTAGGCGTGGTACTTAGGTATTTCAATAAAATAGTTGTCTTGATAATTGGTGTAGTCGTAATCCTCAATATCACAATTCATATTTCCACTAAATAATTATAGATAATAACGATATGTTTCGATTAAGATATTGAATTGACGTCCACCGAACACATGGTCGCGCGCGCACTCCATCGCGACACAAATGGAACTGACTCGAATGACAAAATGGCCGCCGTACCAGTGCTCGGTGTTCGCCATGGGCATAGAGTAAGCCTACAAATATATTTATGATAAGTTAAAGTTATTATATCTATCGTTATTAATAAACAGACTAATCTATTGTTATTTATTTATTTATTTCTCAATGAAATGGCAATTTTTTCTTCACGAGGCTTGGCACTCATTTCGTAACTACCCGCACCCTGAAGACTACGATATTGCAAGTAACGTTCTTTTATGATTCCTAACGGCCCTTAATTACACCGAACAGCTTAAAATAATCCGACAAAAGCAATACGATGACCTCAGAAACTTTATTGCATAAATTACGTATTTAATGTTACTAGACTTGATAAAATTTTAAACACCAATTAGTAGTAACCTACCGAAATAATTTTAAAAGACACGAATTTTGTTAATTTACTATGTTAATGTTTGCTTAATAACTGTAAAGAACACCTGGGATATATTTAAATTATCTTTAAGCTACTTAACTTGTTTCAAGTTACTAATTGCCAGTTAATTAGAAAATAATTTTTGGGTTGTTTTATTTTTACAAAACTGCTGTGAACACTTCTAAAAGGTTAATCTTGTTAACATCTGTGGACCTTTTAATTAATTACGTAATTCTTTTTTTATTATTTGATGATTTAAATAACAAATTTCATAATTTTAGTAACCGTTTTAATAAAGATAGAAGTAAATAAAACCTTCTAGATTATGAGTACTGGCAAATCTAACTACTATTGTAATTTCAAAAGTTTAGATGGATGTTTGTTAGAAAGAATATAAATAAAAAAGTAGACATGGTATCTCCGAAACGGCTCGACAGATCCAGATGAAATTTAACACAGATATAGAACAAAGTCGTGAATTTACAATGCTTCTGTCATTTAAAAATATAACTGGAAAAAACTCAAAACATGCCAGAAGTGTGTAAAATATCGAAACATAGGTAATTTAAATTGTATTTGAAATAAAAACAGATATTAAATATAAAATGATTTTCAAGTTATTGTTATCTAAGAAAGACAGCATGTAATGTTTAGAGTTTAGAGCCGAGAATTTTTAAGGCGTACGTACTAGGATATATAAAATTATAGCTTTCGCTCGCGACTCCTTCCGCGTGGTAGTAAAAAAAATAAAACCAAGTAGCCTATGTGTTCTTCCAGACTATCCCCTACATGTCTGCCAAATTTCATTGAGATCTGTTCAGCAGTTTAGGCTACAAACTCTAACAAACATCCATCCAACCATCTATCCATCTAAACTTTCAGATTAGTAAGGGTAAGAAGTAAGTAATAAATTAAAAAGGAAATATATAACTAAATTAAAAAAAAAACTGCGTACAAAATCATATATTTATTAGATTGGTGGTATAAATCTCGAGGTCAGGAAGAAGGTAGTCGGTCAGCGGAGATAAATGGCTCTGAATTACTGCAACATGAAACTTTTACGACGCTTAATGAGATAAAGCGTTAATAATGACTTCGTATTTAATAAACTGTGCATTTATGTTCCAATATTCATAAAATATCCTATGTTTTAATAAAATTTAATTATAATAAACGCAGGTAAAAGATAGCGATGAAGTATTAGAGCGGGCGTTCACCTTTGACTAAACAATTGCACATTGTGGTGCGATTGTCGATTGTTTCGCAGCCTATTCAATTGTTAGTTGTTAAAAATCGACTAGTGTGCGTGACATATAAGCTCTAAGAATCACAGGGCGACTAAACAATTGTGCGATAGTTGTTGATTTACGAATCGAGCCTTAGATATAATCTAACACGTGTACAATTTATTACACTTGGGTTTCTAGAAAAAACTCATCTGTCAGTCTTACGTCTTTCGTAACGCGTTACGTTACGGTTTATCTCTAAATCAAGGCCGCGCCTAGGACAATTTGTTTGCAAAGTTTCTCGGAGGTGGAATATTTTTCAAGTTTTACCCTTACTTGGATAGGAGCTTCTGGTTACATCGTTTGTGAATAAAATAT